GAGTGTTGAAGGAGGTACACGCGAGGCCAAAAGTGATTAAAAAAAAAAAAACTTATCAATTTATTACGCCATCTGGAAACCAGACGGGCTGAGCCCCCAAACGGCGTCAGCACCCAGGGACTGGGGAGGCAGGGGTTATAAAGGCCCCCAGTGGGCTTTTCCGGTGGGGAATTCTCTGGGCAGGTCGGATCCTGGGAGAGTCCTGAGGGGAGGAACATCAGTTGCGAAGTGATCTAAAGGTCAGTTTCCGAGGGGGAGCGGAAGGGTAATATATTTGATCATTTGATCAGACCTAACATGGAGGTAGGTTTCACATCTAAGGAAGAGGTTCCCAAGATCAGGTGAGAGCATAATGGTCTTCAAATTGTGAATTGGTTTATTTCAGTATCAAGCATATCTCCATCCTGCACTGTCCAATTTGAGAGCCAGTAGTGGCCAAAGGCAACTATTGAACACTTGGCAATATGCCGAGTCTGAATTGTGATCTATATAAAATATTGATTGGATATGGAAGTGATAACTTTTGGGATATATTGGGTAGGGTTGTGGTAGGCAGTTAGATAGACCTGAGCAAGGACAATGGGCCAGGTGCAGAGGGTCCTCAGGGCAGAAAGCTTTGGATGCCTAACAGGCAAAACTGGGAAAACAAGGAGCTCACCCCCAGGGTAACCTTTCTTCCCGGAGCATTTTTGGTTTGACCCCTGACCTTTCCTCTCCTGGCATGTCACTAGTCATGCAGTAAACCCCCTTGGAGGAGGAACAAGGGGTGGAAGAGTGGCCTCAAGTGACTCCCCTGCAGGCCTTTGCATGACCACTCCCTTCCACAGTAACCCTGGGATAACATCAAGGCCTCGGCTCCTGTGTTTCAGCTCCGGGCCCAGAAAAGCGGCAAAACCAGCCAAGCGAAGCCATGGCTGACATGGAACCAGCTGCATTGACTCAAGACTGCCGACCAATCAGTAGAAATCTTAACTCTAAAAGGACACACCTGGAGAGCTGATGAATATTCTCCTGGATCCTCCCCTGAGTCCTGGATGTACCTTCAAAAAGAGGACCCAGCTCAGCGCTCTCTCCCAGAGCACATGCGAGCCTTTCCTCTCCCTTTCTTCCTCCTCCACCCACCTGTGCCCCCAGGAGAGTTAGCTTCACCTGTCTCCTAAGTTCCAAAGGCACTTCTCTTAATTTGTTTCCCGACCCCATTTCTTCTGCTGCTCACTTCTCCTGCCTCTGTGACTTTCTGAATAAACATTCTCTGAGTCTTGGCTCTGAATTCTTTCTCAGCCAGAACTCAAGGCCCAAGGTTGCCGAACCCAGGTCCAGTCTGACACCTGGTGCAGTTTTCATTGACAGCAGGGTGACCAACTTATTTTTGCCAGAGACACTCTTGCTTATTATTTTTTAAAAATATATATCTTATTGATTTTTTACCGAGAGGAAGGGGGAGGGATAGAGAGTTGAAACACCAATGAGAGAGAATCATTGATCAGTTGCCTCCTGCATGCCCCCCACTGGGGATTGAGCCTGGAACCCAGGCATGTGCCTTTGGCTGGAATCAAACCTGGGACCCTTCAGTCCGCAGGCTGATGTTCCATCTACTGAGCCAAGCCGGCCAGGGCATGGTTGTCGTATTGTTGGTTAAAATATATTTAATTTTACCTGTTTTTTTATTTTATTTACTTTTTATTAGAAACTTTAGATGACAACATGGCTCTCATTATATTTATATTAGATAGTGCTGACTTTCTTAGGTCTTAAACCCCAGACTATACTCTGCAAGGGGACAGAGGTGACATTTTCTGCCATCAGTCACTGACCACAGGAAACAGCAACTAGACTTCAGCAAAAAACAAGCATGGTGACTGAACAAGCTGTGAGAGTGAGGAGACTAAATGATGGACATGATTTTCCTAAGTTGGAGGGCAGGGAGGAGAGCATTCTTGGCAGAGGGCACTGCCTGAGCAAAGGCACGGAGGTGGGATCCAGGGAGCTGTGATATAAGCACACCTGCTTGCTTAGAAGAACGCTTCCCAACCCCACACAGCGGGGCTGATTGGGCAATCGGGGCAGCCTTGAGGAGTAGGCGTACAGTGCTTCCTCTTCTCCCAATGTGGATCTCCAGGTTCAGCTAGTCTCTTCCTTGGGATGCGTCTGGCATCTGCGCCTGTCTTGTCAGGTCCGTGCAGACATGTAGCGGTTACTGCTCTACCTATGTTTTCTTGGTCAGCTTATTCTCACCACGACCTCTCGGCGCTGTGGCAGACTGGTGTCACTATCTGGGTAAAAGATGTGGAGGGAGCTAGGGCTTCTCACTGAGGACTGAGTCCGGGAAAATGCAGTTAATTCCAGAGTTTTCAGGGGCTGGTTGTGAAGTCTGTTACTTTTGCTTGGTTTCCAGCAATCTTGGTTGAGCATTGAGTGTATGCCAGGCACTCTGGTTGCATTATCAAATAGCCCAGGAGTGGGGTTATCTCCATTACTAGATGAGAAAACGGAGGCTGGCAGAGGTTATTCTTTCAAGATCACAGAATTCACACCCAAAGACTGTGCTTTTCACTCTTTACACGTTCCCACTCTGGATAGTTCTACCAAGAGATCCGATGGCGAGGATAAAATTTGGAAAACAGGGATCAGGCATTTGTTAAATGAAGGTCTTGTCACGCAAAACTGGAATGTGTTGGCTAAAATGCTCCCTGCAGAAATGCTTACCTTGAGTAGTTTAGTTCTCATCTTTTATCAAATATTGATGAAGAGCCACCTGAAGACCTTGTTTGCTTCCTCTCCTTGTCTCTGAAGTCACTGATCAGAGTGAAGTGGACTGGAATATATATATTGATTTCAGAGAGGAACGGAGAGGGAGGGAGAGATAGAAACATCAATGATGAGAGAGAATCATTGATTGGGTCCTGCACATCCCCCTACTGGGGATTGAGCCCACAACCTGGGCATGTGCCCTTGACCAGAATCGAACCCAGAGCCCTTCTGTCCACAGGCCGTCGCTCTATCCACTGAGCCAAACTGGCTAGCGCTGTTCTGGATATTTATATGCAGAACTCATTTAGGTATCTAAATAAGGGTAAACGGAAGGCCCCGATCATCATTCCTGGTCTCTGGCCAGGCCTAGGAACCCTACCGAGCACGAATTTCATGCACTGGGCCTCTAGTATTCCTATAATGGGCGAGGGCTATGGCCGGGTAACACGCTTTCTGCCCCCTGCAGTTCTGAGCCTATCCAGGGAGTGAGACAATTGGTCTGAACAAAGCCCTTGAGCAGTGTATGCAAATGACCTGCTACAACCACAAACCTGCTGGCTTCTCCTGGGAAACTGCTGGGCTGGAAGGCCTTGCCTCTACCCTGCCCAGCTCCTCTTCCCCTAGGAGGCCTGCCTGCCCTGACTCCCCTCCTGCAGTCCGGGTTAGATAGCCCTTCTTGAGTAGCGGGGCTCCCTGAATTCAAGTCCTTTTTGCGCTGTGGGCCCTGAACTCGTCACTTGACCTCAGCTGACTCTAGTCAAATGGGGCCAATAGCAAAGAAACAGCTTAGCACAGCTCTTGCTTGGTACAGGGGCAAAGCAGGTCCTGATGTAAAGCTAGCTACCACTCTTGACAGCAAAGCTCTGGCCTGGGTCTCCGCTATATCCCAGCACCTGGCACAGAACCTGAGCACAGAGCAGGTGCTCAGTGCATGGTGTTGGTTGGCAGAATAATGGTCCCCAAACATGTTCACACCCTATTATCCAGAACCCATAAATATTACCTTACCTGGCCAAGGGGAATTAAGGTTGCAGATGGGATTAATACTGCTAGTCACTGGTTTTTAAAATATTCTGGATTAACCAATTGGGCTCAATGTCATCACAAAGGGTCCCTAAGAGAGTTAGAGATAGATGTTCTGTGGAGAACCAGAGAGGTGACAACGTGAGAAGGACTCAGCCTGACTGGGCTGGTTTTGAAGAATGGAGGAAGAGGTCACAGCCAAGGAATGCAGGAAGCTTTTAGAAGTTGGGAAAGACAAGGAAATGGATTCTTCCCTGGGGCCTCCAGAAAAGAATGCCTTCTGCCAATACCTTGATTTTAGCTCAGTGAGACCTGGGAGGGACATCTAAGCTTACAGATCTGCAAGATAATACGTGTGTGATTTTTTTTTAAGACAAAAGTTTTAGTCATTTGTTACAGCAGCTTTAGGAAACACGTAGTACCTGGTAAATGACTGTTCACGTCTGTGACTTCTACTGAGCTAGCTGCTTGTGACAGGTGATTCGTACTTTCCTCTCCCGTTAGTCTATGAACTAAAGGTGAAGGAATGTCTGTCTCATTTACCCTCGGTTCATAGGCACCGAGGGCCGGGCACTCAGTAAATGCTATGAATAATAATATGTATTGTAATTCATGAGTTTAATCGATAGGAATAATAAATGTCTGTTTCCTTCCCGGTGCTCTACAGTGCCTACCACACAGCAGGAGCTCAATAAAAAAAAACCTACAGCCGAAACCGGTTTGGCTCAGTGGATAGAGCATTGGCCTGTGGACTGAAAGGTCCCAGGTTTGATTCCGGTCAAGGGCATGTACCTTGGGTTGCGGGCACATCCCCAGTAGAGGGTGTGCAGGGGCAGCTGATCGGTGTTTCTCTCTCATCGATGTTTCTGACTCTCTGTCCCTCTCTCTTCCTCTCTGTAAAAAATCAATAAAATATATATTTTTTAAAAACAAAAAACCTACAGGTGCAATTCCCTCTCCCATGACCCAACCATTCTCTCCACTTCCCTGCTTCTGCACGTCCCCTCATTCCGGGACGGTGACGTTCTTCAGTATCTGGGGGTCTCCATCCTGACTCCCATTCCCACAGGAGCAGGGCTCCTCGGAGGCCGCGGGGCGCAGTGCCCACCTGGGGCGGCAGGGGGAGACCGTGGCCCGGGAGCTCCCGCCGGTGGGCTGGGAAGGGGCGGGGCTTCGGGGCGGGGCGGCGCAGTGCGCAGGCGCGGGGCCAGCCGCCTCGCGCGGCCAAGGGCAGGCGGCCACAGAGCAGCCCCGGCCGCGGCCACGGTAGGAGCGAGTTCGAGTCCGACTGCCCCTCACGCTCTTGGGTTCTCGCCGTCCCGGCTCTTGGGCCTTCCGACGCCAGTCCGTTCCCGGCTGCTCCGCCGCGCATCGCGCCCTCGCCGCCGCCGCCGCCAGGATGCCGGTCACCGAGAAGGACCTGGCGGAGGACGCGCCGTGGAAGAAGATCCAGCAGAACACCTTCACGCGCTGGTGCAACGAGCACCTCAAGTGCGTGAACAAGCGCATCGGGAACCTGCAGACGGACCTGAGCGACGGGCTGCGGCTCATCGCGCTGCTCGAGGTGCTCAGCCAGAAGCGCATGTACCGCAAGTACCACCAGCGGCCCACCTTCCGCCAGATGCAGCTGGAGAACGTGTCCGTGGCGCTCGAGTTCCTGGACCGGGAGAACATCAAGCTCGTGTCCATCGGTGAGTGCCCCGTCCTGGCCGGGCTCCGGCGGGCGGGCTCGGGCGGGCGGACCCCGCGCGCGCCCCTGCGGGCGGCGGAGGCTTCCTGCCGCGCACCCGCTCCCTCTCGCGGCCGGGGGCGTCGTCCCCGGGGCTGTGGGGACACAGGAGACCTAGGCTCCCCCCTCTCATGGTGCTGCCGCCTGGGAAACCTCCCCGCAGCGCTCCCCGCCGTGCGCCCTGGCGGGGGTCCCTGGAGAGCTGCGGGTTGAGGATGTGAGTTGGGGCCGCACACGGGGAGCGTTGGGGCTGTGGCATGTCTCTCTGCACCTAGGATGCCCCTGCCGGGACTTGGGGGGCTGGAAACCCCTGGTCTGCTGTCCCCGGGGGTTCAGAGACCCTCGTCCGCTGCTCCGCCAGCGTCCGCCCCGCTGCGCCCAGGCCGGTGCGAATGGGCGTTGGCGCTGAGGCCGGTCGGGGAGGCACCGTTCTCCGCGCCCCAGGCCGCCCCGCCCAGGTGGAGCCCGGGACCCGGTGCCCGCCCCCGCCGCCTCCGAATGGGTGTGGGCCTGGCGGTGGGAAGGGGAGCCGCAGGGGGTGTGTCGCCCTCGCTCGCTCGCTCCCCGGGCGGCTCTGGCCGGCGCCGCCGGAGGAGGCCGCTCTGGAGGCTGAGGCTACAATGCAGAGGGGGTGGTGGTCATGGGAACGGCCGCCCTGCAGGGACCCCAAACCAGTGGGCGTTGCGGCCACAGCCTTCTGGCTGTCTCGGTCCTTCCACAGCCTGCAGGCTGGAGGGCTGGAGCGCTAGGTCCGTTTTGCAGACGGAGCGAGTCAAGGGGATTAAATCGCTCGCCCAAGCCATGGAAGCGTGAGGGTCCAGCGGAGAATTGAAGGAAGTGGCGACAATGGAAGGAGACTTCGCTTTCCTCTCCCCGCCCTCCCCACACCGGGGTCTTCCTGAGAGGGGGCAGGGAGTTGGTGTTTGTCCCTCATCCTCTGAGCTGGGGAGGAAGAATGAGGGTGAGGTCCCCACTAGGACCTGGGCTAGGGGAGGATTTCCAGGAGGGATACAGGCTAGGGGAGGGCTGTCACACATGTGCATATAGGGAACATGTGTGTGCGAAGAGGGAGTGTGTGTGCACGTGTGTGCATATGTGTTTGTGTGTGCATTTACATTGTATGTGTACGTTCTGCCAAGTGAGTGTCTTGCCGGAGAGGTGCTGGCCCGGGCCCAGGCCTGGGTCTAGGTCTCTTCCTGAGGAAACCAGGCCTTCTGGTGACCCCCATGACAGGAAGAAAGTGTGGGTTTGGCTGCTGGGACTTTCTCCAGCCAAGGGGGGTCCCTCTAGGCCAAGCCTCCTCCCTTCTCCCCTCTCCCTCCCCCACACCTGTCCTGGCAGGTAGGGCTGCTTCCCGGGCCCAGGCAGATGCCACCGCCCTGCCAGCCTCGCTGTGAGGGTGGCTTCTGTGCAGACGGAGGCTGGGTGGCACGCTCTGGTATCTGCCTGTGACCTGGGGAGAGAACCTCGACCTTCTCCTGGAATTCTTTCCTTCTCAGAAACCAGCGACCCCTCTGAGGAATCTCAAGGCCTGGCTGGGCTCGATGGGGATCCCTCCTTCTTTGTTTTAAATGTGTATTTATTTAATTAACCGAACAAAGAAACTTAACATAAACCAGGAGTATCCAAACATGACATGAAATCTCTTTTAAAAAAAAACAAAAAAACCCATACAAAACAAATGAAAAACCCAAACCACAGCCCCAGAAAACCCTGGGCTGCCTAATTTACCCAGTTTGCAGAGGTTGCAGCTGCTTCCAGTCTGGCTTCCATCATTGCCCCGAGCTTGGGGCCTCCTTCTAGGTGTTGTCTGGCCCCTTCGGTATAGTTTTCTACTCCATCTTCTCGATTTGCATTCCTGAACCCACCAGGCCATCGGGCCTTCCATTCTGCTGGCATTCCAGGGTTATTCTCCCCTTTCCTGGTTGTGGGCCTAGGGCTGTGGGCAGCTTCTTCCCACAAGTTACATTGTTTTATTTTCTCCTTTTAAATGATTCCTTGGATCACATTCCCCAAAGTAGCATGCCTGGGTCAAAGGGTGCTACCACATTTATGAGTCCCGTCATTGGCTGCCTCATTGCTCTCCCAGAAAGATTAGAAGCAAACAGGTTTTCCAGCCTCTGGAGAGAGGGAAGGAATGTCAGGTGCCAGGACTCCTGTGGGGGTAAAGCCCGAGGCCTCTTGCTTTTGCTCCTGGGCCAGGCCTGGGTAAGAGCCCTGAAGGAAAAAGCCATACCGAGCTCACTCATGAGCTGTGTATTTACTGCTTAGCTGTGTGGCTGCTGCCTTGCTGACATTGATGGACACCAGCTCCGATTTGGGGGCATGGGAAGGTGTTCTGTTAATTACCTCATTGATCGCCACCTTGAATTCTCAAGTGGTTTCCTTGTCTGTATAATAGCTGCTTCAGCAAGTCCTGGGAGGCTTACGGGCTTGCCCCAGTCCTGACCAGGTGCTTAGGAGATGGTTACTGTTATAACTGTGACCTGTTAGTATGGTTATCTCTGGTTAAAGGTGAGGAGACAGAAGTGAAGTAAGTTGCAGAGGTCGCCTGCTAAGTAAATGGTGACTGGGATCCAGGTCTACCCCGTTGTTGAATTGAGCCTTCAGTGACCTGCCTTCCAGGGTCAGAAATGAGCAAATACGTCCCCTCTCCCCTGACCAGAGACCCCCCGCAGCAGGGCTGTTAAGTCTGGGGTGTCCGGGTAGCCTCCGGCCTTGAGGATCCCCAGGCCTTAGATGAGTGAGAGGACTAGTCCTCTGACCTATGACAAAGGATCCCTGAGGTCAGAGTCGCGTCTGGAGGTGAGCAGAATCCGTTTGCAGCTTCCATCCTGTGTCCAGGTGAACTTGTTTGGGGACTGGCTGCTCTGCTTTCTCTGATGTTTTTCAGGGGTGGGGTCGGGGGATGGGAACTACCCAGAGGATGGTGTCTTACTCCATCGTCCGGATGAGGGAAGGAGTCTTTGAATGAATACAGAGTTTCGTATGCTCTCAGCAGTATGCATGCTGGTAGTCGTTAGAGTACAGGCTCCCCGCTCTGAGATCACGGAAGGTCAACAGCCACCAGAGGACTCTGGCTTTTCTCCTCAGAATTCACCGAAAGATAGCCCTGGCTGTTTTACTCGCAACTGCAATTCATGGCGAGGCGGGCCCATCCGGGGCTCCATCCAAAAGTTAAAGATTTTCTTCATTTTCTTGTTATATCCTGGGCAGTTCATAGTGAGGCCTCAGCATATTTAATTCTAGCCGCCTGCCAGAGCTGGCAGTTTTATTTACTTGTTTTTCCAAAAACCTTTCTGACATTGGGCAGGCCAGCCAACTTGGAGAAAAAGGGGTCTCTCAGCCGAGGAATGACAAATCAAGGCTGCCTAGAAGTTTGGGTGGTGTGTTTTGGTTTGATTCCGCAGAAAAAAATAAATGAATTTTTGCCTTTTTAGACAGAGGATGCGGTATGACCCGAATGTTTACTTAAAGGGCCCGTGCCAGGCCAGTGCGTGTTCCCAGGGAGGTGGGCCACCAGGCCACTTAGCCCTTTTCCTTCCTTTTGTCCCACTCCCTCCAAAATAACTACAACTAATCCTGAATTCTACTCTTCTGAATTACCTAGCAAGATGCCAGTGCGCCGTTTAGGCAATATAGTTCCTGCCGGAGAATGTTTAAAAAGTAACCAGCACAATAGCATGCTTTGTCAGAATTAACAAAGTTTGGGGTCATTTGCAACAAGTAACACATGAGTGTCCTCTGTGCCCTGGTGGCTCTTGTTAAGAGCAATAATTCTTTGTTCCAATCCCACTTACTGCTAAGTAGCAATTAAGACACTTCTGTGCCTTGGTTTTGTTCTTTCTTTCTTTCATCCTCACACATGATATTTTTCCCATTGATTTTTAGAAAAAGTGGAAGGGAGAGCGGGAGGGGGAGGGAAGAGAGAGAAAGAAACATTGATGTGAGAGAGACACATGGGTTGGTTGCCTCTGGCGTGCTCCCTAACCAAGGAGGGGCATAGAACCTACAACCCGGGTACGCGCCCTTGACTGGGAATCTGAGCCCCAGACCCTTTGGAGTTCAGGCCGGCGATCTGTCCACTGAGCCACACTGGCCAGGGCTGGGTTTTCTTATCGCCAGTATGGGGACAGCACCTATCTCTATTAAAAATTAAACACGTTAACACTTAAAAGAAGTGCTTAGGTCAATTGGTGGCACATGGCAAGTGCTCTGTGAGTGTTTGTTAAATACGGCAGGTACCATCCAAGAACCCTCTCAGGAGTCACGCTGGAGGGGGTGCACGCCGAACGGGCTTGCGTGGCTGGTGCTGACTCTGTTTGCTCTCCTGGGGTTACGGACTGCCCAGAGCATGCCCCTCCTTGGAAGGAGGTGACCCCTGGCTGTGTGACGGCTGCCTCCGGGCCCATTCACAACAGCTTTGTTTCCGAGAGCTGGACGGGTAGCTGGCCATTCAGCCCTCCCACCCCACTCAGGAATCTCTGGGCCAAATCACTTCCAGATGGCAGCCGGGCTTCGGCGGAGCCCCTCCAGCGACCGGAGCCAGCGTGCCAGTCAGCAGCCGCCTTCATTCTTGGAGAGTCTGTGCGGAAGGAGGGCTTTGACTCGGAGCCAGATTGTGTCTCTCGGCACTTCCCTGTCCCTGCCCGGGTCTTGGGCCTGTGCTGTGAGGCGGTGTCGCTGGCTAGTGGAGAATGGCTCCTTGCAGGATGAGCCTTTGGGCCCTGCCTGCAGTGGCTCCTCGGTCGGAGGTTCCCCATCCTGCTTTCCCTATAAGTGGCCTCCAGGTCTGCACATACAAGGCTCTGCTAGATACAGCCGAGTTTTTTTTTGGGGGGGGGGGCGGGGGGGGGGAGGGAGGTGGTGTCCTGAAGCTAGCCTGCCACGGTTCCAATCCCCTCTTGCCACCTAACAGCTGTGCAGCTCTGGCCCACTGCCTTCACCTTTCTGAGCCTGTTC